AAATTAGTTTTTCGTCAATAACTCTTGATCAAATTGAGCTAGCGAGTCGGGAAAGGCACCAATGGACTCAGGAAGGCCTGCCGAATCGAATGATATGCGACATGACCTCTTTCGACCAACTTCGTGACCTGGGGGTGCTGACCTGACCTTGACCTGAGGTCAACACCCCAAGTTGGCCTGACCCGGACAAAAAGTATATCATTCGACGCGCCTGAGCGAGGCGAACACGATGCTGCCAAAATCGGCGCTCTGCGGCCGTTTTTTGCGAAGTTATTCACCAAAAACTGAACCGTACCCTGAGGCACTTGACCTGACCTCAGAGGTCACCGGATGACCTAGGACCTTAAAATCGGGTACCAATCTCTGCGTCTCGTAACGGCGCACACGCTCGTTTTTTCCGCGACGCGCTAGCTCCACCAGGGGCGAAACGGCGAGGGGGGGGGTCGTACCCGCCCCCCCCCCCTCGGCCGGCGCGTATGTAGAAAACCAATAGGTCCGGCGAGGGTTAAGGAAAATGAAATGTATTAAATATGTTATTCCTAGGCTCTCAGGAGAAAAGGATCAACAAACGTTCTGCTGCAAATTAAACAATGCAGCAAATTAGCTATTAATGTAAACGTAATTAGCGAGACGAAAACGGCGCTTTTGTTTCAGTTATTTTTGTAGGGGTTTCAGATATTTATAGAGTTCAGTGCAGTGGGTTGTTTCTGAGGAGATGTGGAGATGTGAATTAGTAATTAATCACACTTTATTAGTATATAGGGCCTTGCAATTTATCATCTGGATTTAAAAAAAATTCCTGCTGAGTGCAGAAAGGTAGGTAGGTGCATCGCCAGGTTCTATCACAGGATTGGAGCAGTTATTGCAGTTGAAAGACAAAGTTGGCTGTTCATGTTTAGGCCCTGTTCTTTATTTGGCCATCTACTCCATATTGCAGTTGTGATGACAAGCAGTTTTCAGTGTAGTTTTGTGATCTTTGATGTCATCAATTGGTGTCATTAGGTATTTTTCGTCAACTAAAACTTATTTCAACTTTCCATTCAATCGACTCAATCATACGAGTCACTCTAATTTTCGGGAATCAAATCAGTCAACCAGTCGCTAAAGTCAAACGAGTCAGTCAACCAGTCATCTCGAAAAGTCAATCGACTCAATCCAATCAACTCAAAATACGCGCTGAATCAAATCAATCAATTCAATCGACTTGATTGGTATACAACCCTGCTAACAAGGGACACATTTTACCCAGTCCGTAATGATTCTAAATCGGGCAGAACCGACTTCTTGCAAACCAACGTCCAACGGAATCGAGGAGCAAGGCAGAGGAGCGACTCACACATCCACATCACCTGACCTACTTGCAATGCACGAATCTCGAGTTCACGAGTGCATCGGGTGTCTCGAGACTCGAGCTGCACGAGTCAATCCAGAATCCGGATCATGATAGCGACATCTATACAATCATATTGGTGTCATATGGTCATCACCCGGTATTGGTGTATTGGTGTATTGGTGTATATTGGTGTATAAGAATCTATCACCGGGTATTGCGGCTCACCAGTTATAATCAGCGGCTTCTCATTCCGGTAACCAGCTCCACCACACCTACTGACTACTGTTAAAGACAAAAAATAGCACATGGCTCCATGGCCTCTTTCCTATTATTTCATATGCAATGATATTTTTACCCAAGAACTTCGATGAAAGGTAAACAATCATAATAGCAGCAGATCACTTTTGCCAGGATAACGGCGCAAATGTTGACAAGGTGAGCGCTTCTGGCTGGGACGCCAGCGCCGCGGGGCAGCGGGGGCAACGACCGTGCCCTCATCGCCAGCCGAAACCACAATCTCTCTGGAAAAGAACAAACTGAGCGCCAATCGCGCCGGTAAAGTCAGCACCGCGCGCCAACACACCGGACCTATTGGTCGGTCAGTCAGGGGGAGGGGGTCGGGGGGATTCGCCAGGGAGACTATCGGGCCCACTGACATCGACGGGCGGTAGGTAGTCTTTTTAATGGGGAAATTTGAGCATACCTACTCTTCCTTTCGTAGGGTGGTCATTCGTTACTGCATTCGGATACGTGCAGTTTCCACTTGAACATGAACCAAGTCTTTGAGTCTTCCCTTGCTTGTTGAATGTTTCCTGACATTTTTAAACAGATTGTTAGTTCGAAAAATGTTACTTTCCTCCCATGTTTAGCCACGTTATCATTGCGATATCGCCTTATATAGTTCCGCCATATCATTCAGCAATATCTCCCGCAAATCCCGCTACATCTCCCGTTATATCTCTTCCGATATCTCCCACGAGATCTCCCGTTATATCTCTTCCGATATCTCCCACGATATCTCCCACGATACCTCTCTACATCTTCCGTGGGCACGGACGCTCCTGTTGGGACGATCTCCGATCTAGATCGCCGTGATCATGGGCTTTGTGTCACCGTATTTGTCGTACTTTTTCGGCGAGGATCGGATGGTGGGTATCTATTTGTTCCCGATCATTGGTGGTCCTGTAGCTGGGAACAGACTTTTTAAATTCAGTCTTAGCGGTAGGTATGCAAAATAGCTTTATCTTCCGTTGCTGGATATATAGGTAATATATAGAGTCAAGTGCGGCTTCATGAGACCAGTATACCTACATTAAGCTTGAAGCATTCTATTCGTACAACAGAGAGCATGACAATGCATATGATATGCAAAGTTTAAACATGTGCATTATGCATGAATCCAAGTGTTGAATCTGCGATGCCAGAGAATCTCACTGCAGTCGCGACAAGGCGACATGTTAGGAGCCAATGTTAGATTTCGTACGAACTGGAAACATGCTATGACAAGGATTTTCAGGATGTATGTGTGGATCTCACAACACGCAGTCTGTGCAGAGGTGATCCTGAGTTGAGAAGGAATACGCATCAGAGGCTGGATCTGGATCTGTACTGACAAAAATGAGGCGACTCCGACTTCGAAATAATAAGCAAAGGAAACAATTTAAAAATGAAGCATTACGGGCATCATTCTATGAACGGACAGCCTATTTCAAATTATTGCCAGTATTAAGGGAAGTGAAAAATATATCAGAAGGCTGAGCAGTGGCGCAAATCGCCGTGACTGCTGGTTGGGCATCAGGAGAGGCACAGACGTCGGACGCTGGTCCAAAAAAATCAGTGCAGGATACTGGGCACTGGAACAGGGCAAAACAGGGCACCGTGAACGGGGTCAACGGAGAGAAGAGACACCGAGCATGGACACATGGGACTAGGATGATGAGCTGCTTTTAGGAGAGCGCTTGGGGTCCTGATTTCCATTGTCTCCTGGGTCCTGCCCCTGGTTTGCCACTTTTCGTCAGAAAAAGACATCCATTTTAGACCCCAAGAATCAATTCAAAAAGGTAAGTGTCCCTGTAAGAAAATACTGTGTCATATCAGAGGAATACAGAATGTTCTGCTATCCTATTTAATTGTTAGCAGCTTGAAACCTGCCTGGCTCTATTGATGTTTGATGCCTTCTATGTAATGTTTTGGCTACAGTCACTACACCAACGTAAATAATAAAACTCTCTGATACTTACCGGCCTAATATCAATGCGGTGAGCTGCGGTCGCTCAACCATTCCGCGAATGTCGGGAATTTTCAATTTGTTGGCTCACCGGCTTTTCCCAGACACAGTACCAAGAATATTACGTCTACCCTTGCCTAAAATCGCTGGCATAGAGGCACATCACACGATTCGCGCGAACGCATGTAGTGAACTGGTATAAGGCACATTTTTAACTCTGCCAAATGACTTGCAGGGCTCTTCGTGTATATGTAATTACATAGCTGCGACATTCAGGCATGGAAAATAAATATTCGTCTCACCGACAGCGTTTTGCGTCATTGACCGATTTTTGCAACGCATTATTTCCAGAACCTGCATGAACCACATAAGAATTTTGATTATCCCCCGCATTCAGCTTCATACCGGGTATACCGCACAAGACCTACAACAGCAGGACTCAGTCGCCCGCTCCAGCCGTTCAGCTGTTGAATGAGCTATAAATTTCATAAACAGCATGCTGCTCGTGACACGAAAATGCCTGAAAACGAGGATAGAAAAGTAAGAAATAATATAATTGTGTATCTTAAGTAGGCCAAGTCAAATTTATGCAAAAATATCAACATTGAAATTTGACCTAATTTGACCTGAACTTGACCTGACCTTCACCAAAACGCAAAAAAAAAACTAAGCTGGCTCCAAAGGCTGCCTGACCCACATAATCGCATTTGTCATGTAAAATGGACCATAAAACATGTATCACACGACACTTTCATATTGTGACCCCCAGTGACCTGACCTCTGTGACCTGACCTGGTATCAGTGACCTCAGATAGCAAAGTATGTGTTTGACGAACAATGTACCATCGATGGTTTTCAATAACTTACCAATTTACTCGATTTCACAACACAGTTCTTGAAATAACGACAACTCAAGAAACTCAAGATTACCAAACGATATTTATTTCTAAATTACTTTTAAATACACACGATATTTGTTAAATGTGTATTTAAAAGTAATTTAAAAACAAATATCGTTTGGTAATCTTGAGTTTCTTGAGATGTCGTTATCCAACTGTCGTGGATACTTATCATTACAGTTCTTGAAATGTCTGTGAACGGTGAAAATCCGACGTTTGACCTGACCTGTGACGTCATCGGTTTCACCTAGGTCAATGAAACTGGGTCACAAGGTAGTTCCCCGGTGGGGCTATCGAACGCTGTTTGCATTTTGAAAATCGGCCGGTAAATTTCCGAGATCTTAGAGGGGGACGAAACGCCCCCCTCCCCGCCCCCTACGGGTGGTAGGGTCCGCCGATAGCCCTACGGGGCGCGGGTTTTAATGAAAGGACACGGATGGAAAGTTATTGCAATAAAATAGTTTATCAAACAATCTGCCTCCCGAGGTAATTAGATCCATATCCGCCCCACCTTATCTTATCCACGCGGGCGAGTACTCACCGCACTCGCCGACGCACTTTGGACTGAGTTTGCAGGATGGCTGCCGGCTGCAGGCCGTGCCGGAGCAGCTTAGTGTGTCCACTGTGCAGGCGTCTGAAACAGGGCACGCTTCGGTCAGCTGGGGATTAGGCACACTGTGCCGATTTACCTCCATACGTTCGCCGCCTAACTATAGCCTTACAACAATAAAGTGCACGATGGCGTGTTTCTTAGAACAACCTAAAGAGACACAGACGAAGACGCATGAGATACATAGGCAGATCCAGAAAGGCGGTCTCGGACGCTGCAGGGGAGGGGCGCATACCCCCCCCCCCCATCTCCAAATTCCAAAAACTCGTCGGCTTTCGATTCCTTATGCACTGCTGAGTGAGTGCTGTGCAGTTTTCAGTTGTTTAGTGTTCTCTTTGTTGTAGAAAAACGACTAATTTTCGTCGATTTCGGACGCTGCGACGGCGCATTTGCCCCAAATGTTCCCCAAGTCCCCACCCTTGGATCTGCCAGTGCTGAGATATTGTTCATAATTTTGGACCACAGTAGGTAGGTACAGGGTCCACCCTCGTGCATTTAACATTGTGAGAAGTGGAAACGGCCGCCGGCATCCAGCTACTCTCGGACGGTAGATCTGCTGGCTCGTGAAATTGTCATTGAGCACTTAATATACCGCTGGTGACCGGTTAGTAGGGTGCATTGGGCAGACAGTTGGGTGCATCACTTTGCACTTCCGCGTGTGCACGGCTCACACTAGCGCTCGCTTGTATATCGTCCCAAAAGGCAATGTCTTACTGGTGATAATATTTCGTGATTCTTGTACTTTTATGGTAGCTTCTGGTCAAAACTTGGATATCAGGGGGTTAACTTTCGCAGTAAAAACGTTGTCTTATCTCTGTTCTATTGATCGCTCCAGGCACCTCAAATCAAGCCTTTCAAAAGTATGCTGGCTGAAGTTGATCGGTTCTGATCAGAGACGCAGCTGGTTTTTACCTGACAGAAAGGAAGAAACATTTGCTCGCACTGAGAGCCAACATGTCCTCATGAGTACTGATGGCGTTCATTTGATCCGAATTCGGTGGTCGCACTTAGGTTTATAGGATTAGATTTTGCGATTTTTACATGCATTATATGTTCCTCGGCGACCTCCCCACAATTACAAGAGAGAACGGCTTGGTGCTGACTACGACGCCGTAAGTACGCTCGTCAGAGATCTCGGCAAAACAGAAAAGCAAATTATCTTATGTCTATTGTCCCTTCTGGCAGCGGGGAAGCCAATTAGCTTGACTGACGGGGACACGGTACAAAGACATACCACATATTTGCTCTGTCCTCAGCAGCCTCCCGCATTGTGACTGCATTATTTGTGACTAAAGAAGTGAATTCGGTTCTATACAACATAACATGTTTTGTATTCACACACTTAACCCTCGCATGTGTAGGGGGGGGGGGGTCGGATGGACCCCCCCCCATGGTTTTTCACGAATAACTCGCGTAAAAAGCGGCCGATCGCGACGAAACTTTCAGTACCCTCGCATTGATCAATTTTACACCTACCCTGAAAATTTCATGACCCTGACCCAAATGACCTTTGACCTGTGACCTCTTTTCCGAGACCATGTTTGGCCGGAATCGCGATTTCGCGCATGTCGGCTCGCACTAGCCGCGTGTTTGCAAGCTTTTCGTGGTTTCAAACGTTCAAACATGTGATTTGATGTTACTCCCGTGTGTGTCAAGGTCACCTGAAGGTCAGGTCAGGTCATTGACCTTTGGTGACCTCGGGTGACCTCGGGTCACTTTTTCGAGTTTTACATGTTTCTAGGCTAGTTTTTGGAGCTGAATTCGAATTTAGCAACCATTTGAACATTTACGAAGTAGTTTTGGTGACTTCGTAACATGTTACGAAGCTGTCAGAGGCGGTTGACACGTACTACGAATACCCGTCATGACGCCTACTGGTTGACCTGACCTGACCTGACCCGACCTGGTCTAAATGCTTCAAGACATCATCTGTGATCAAAACTAACACGATATTCGTGATCAGCACCCCGAAAAACCCCTTAGCAGCCACACTTTACGACTTTCTAATAGGTCCCGATTTTCCCGACTTTGGGTCATTGACCTGACCTGGAAGGTCAACCAATGACCTAGGACCTTAATATTGGGTATCATCGGCTTCCTCTCGTCACGGGCAACACGCTCGTTTTTTCCGCGAAGCTCTAGCTCGATCAGGGGCCAAACGGCAAGGGGGGGTCCAACCGACCCCCCCCCCCCCTACACATTAGAAGCTGGCAAACGCCGCACACATGCGAGGGTTAATCAATAAGAATTCTTCTTTTTTAATCGTGTATTTTTTTGTGGCGCCATTAACGTTTAAATGCAAAGGTATAATACAATGTTAACCCGCGCACCGACGGGGGTCTGCGCCAACTTCGCACCGACGGGGGGGGGGGGCGGATGACCGCCCCCCCCCCTGAGATCTCGAGAACGAAGCAAGATAGCGACAAGCGGTAAACGGTATCGGATACGCACGGACAAGGTCTACAATTTTTACTAAGGTCATTTTCAGGTCAGGTCAAAGATGACGTCACAGGGGTCGAAAAAGTAAAAATGGCGGCGCTAGATATGGCGATAGTTTTTCTCGAATAACTTTCGAATTAGTCAAGATAGGAACAAATTAAGGGCATCATCGTGATCCTCTCGTCAATCCGCATCGAATGATATATGAGTTGACCTCGAAAGGACAAGATCAAAGGTTGACCTCAGGTCACGTGACCTCGAGGTCATCATGTATGAGATCTGGAAGCGGCATTCTGCACGTGCGCACGTGCAAACGGGGTTCAAAATGACTTTTGCACGGCACCCTACTAACTGGTCCCCAACCGTGTACCAAATTTGAGCGCAATCGGCCCAGCCGTTCTCGAGATCTGGAAGCGCCCCCTGCACGTGCGCACGTGCAGTAGTACCCTAACCGCAACACATGGGAATGCATTGCCTGGTGGGTGCCTACCTGTATACCAAGTTTCAGCGAAATCGCCCCAGTAATTACCGAGTTATTAACCCGCGCACCGACGGGGGGGCGGATATCCACCCCCCCCCTGTGGTTTTTCGCAGATAGCGGGAAAACCGCGGCGCGTAGCGCCGCGAAATTTGGTATGACTATAACCTCATCAATCTTACACATGGTGTTCAAGTGTGAACCTCCTACCTTTTAAGGTCAGGTCACCAGGTCACTTTGAATGACCCAACCTCAAGTCACTTTTTTGCAACTTTATCACCGTGCCAGAGCTACAGTAGATGTCGGAGGCCTTTGAAAGTCGCAGGATATTATTAGGTCATTAGTAGCTACAATTTGTATATCTCGGAATTTTGATATCGGTGACCTAAGGTCAGGTCAATTTCGCGACCTCCCCATTATAAGTCAATGGGGGAAAAATCAACTCCCTGTTTTTACCACTAAAACGGGTCGGAATGGCCCCATATACCATACATGACTTCATATACGATCAACCTTCACTACCTTGAGGTCTGTTTTGCTGTTGGGCAGCTGTGAGGTCATGTGACGTCATCAAAGGTCACCAAAGGTTTTTGGCCAATAACTCCGTACAGGAACAAGATACAGACGCGTGGATGGTCTCATTGTGTTCAGCTCGTCAAGACGCATCGATTGATATACATGATGACCTCGAGGTCACGTGACCTGAGGTCAATCTTTGACCTTGACCTTTCGAGGTCAACATATATATCATTCGATGCGGATTGACGAGAGGATCACGATGATGCCCTTAGTTTGTTCCTATCTTGACTAATTCGAAAGTTATTCGAGAAAAACTCTCTCCATATCTAGCGCCGCCATTTTGACTTTTTCGACCCCTGTGACGTCATCTTTGACCTGACCTGAAAATGACCTTAGTAAAAATTGTAGATCTTGGCCGTGCGTATCCGATGCCGTTTACCGCTTGTCGCTATCTTGCTTCGTTCTCGAGATCTCAGGGGGGGGCGGTCATCCGCCCCCCCCCCCCCGTCGGTGCGAAGTTGGCGCAGACCCCCGTCGGTGCGCGGGTTAAAATGGGAACAAATTTGACACCTCTTATTGTTGTATTTTGCACGTGCACTGGGGGTGACCCACATGCATCGAGAGTATCCTATTTTTGGTAGAAGGGATGCTGCTACCTTACAAAAATAACCGCAAGTCAATCGCCCAAGCGGCTGCTGAGATATGAGCCTCTCAAAATCACTACTTTTGCAAAACAGCTTGAACACCCTTGACTTTTCACGTGGCACGTGCCACGACGGTCACTGAGGTGTATCAAAGGTAGTCGATTACGGGGTAGAAGGGATGGGTCTACCCAGCAAAAAAGACCGCAGGCCAATCGGTCCAGCGGTTGCTGAGATATAAGCAAGCCTCTCAAAAGCGTTACAGGCCGGGCCGGGCCGGGCCGCTCATACTGAGATTTTTCCGTTATATTGAAAAGACTCACTTCGCTCGCTGCGCTCGCTCGCTCGTAATAATACTTTTTGGACTTATTTTAATATCATTTCATTGTATCATGAGCATAAGGTCATTTTCTACCATCATAATATTCATAATTATGCTCGAACTAGCCATAGCTCACCTCCAACGAATTATTGATGTGTACCCATTTCTAAATTATGTCACGCAGGGACAACTCATGGATTAAAAAAGGTCGTGCAACAGGAAAAAGTCAGCGCTCCAACAACTCTGTCATTCATCCCCGAATGATGGATTAGATATCAGACTTTCCATCAAAGATTGGTTACCAAAAGGCTGATCTGTTCTGGGCAGACCTTCCATCACTCGCGAATGAGCGACCGAACGTATAGCTAGGGTGTCTGCGGAAGCCGAACAGAGAAGATCAACCCTGGGGCCGAGGACCTTTGGTTTTCTACATACATCCCGGCCAGTGGTGCCCCCCCCCCCCCCCCATTTCGTCCCTTATTGAACAACATATTCTTTATGCCTAGCTGCAGGCTAAGGTCGGAGATAGCCAAATTTGCTGACGACCAGGGAACATACTTAGCCTAAGGTCATTGATATAGCTCCTCATGTAGCAACTAGCCGTTACCGGTTTTATTCTCATTGC